TGGGGGAGCGCAGGTTCCTGGTAGAGCACCTGCAGATGCTGGCCAAGAGCAGGAGCTGCAGGTATAGCCGGTGGTAGGGGGAGGGGGGAGGCAGCGGCAGTGGTAGGGGGAGGCAATACTATTGGGCCAGTAATGGGGCTGCTTATGGAGGAGAGTCGTGTTGCCTCGACCGATGCATGTTGGTGGCTTTTAATGGCTTTTTATTTGGTGTAAAGGTGTTCCACTGAACCACTGAATGAAATTACTGGGTGGGTCCGCCGCTAATTTGGGCTTCGGCAGTGCCCAGAGCATGGTTTGAGGCTTTTGGATTGCATCGCTTCTCTTCCCCCTCCACCCGCATACGCGCCTTCCCCCCGGGGGCCCCCCCGCTCCCCACCGGGGCCCCAGGGTCAGCCAGATCAGCGGCGATGTGCACTTGTGCGGTGTGGGCAAGCTGCACAGCTGGCCCCGAAGCCCCTGGAAGAGTCCGGGAGGTGACTGGAGGTACATGCAGCAGGTGGGGGGCTGGGCGGGTGAGGAGAGGTGCGTGTGCGTCCGTGTAAAATGTGTGTGCGTGTGTAGACGTAGTAGGAGGTTTTCCCTGCCGGTTTAGAATTTACTGCTAAGCTAAGCTAAGGGAATACTACAGGAATTATTTTATTAATTACGGACCGTTTCGAGGGCTCTGTTATGTGAGTTTTATGATACGTACGTTTACGTGTTATCTACGTATGTGAGTGTACGACCCCACCCCGCGACCCCCGCGAAGCCGTTGTTGTCCCTAATCTGCCCCGCTCCCCCATTCCCCCTGTCGAGTCACGTCACACCATGAAACGCCATGGTGAGCTGCTGCCGTACTTCCCTACAAAACCCCCCAGAACCCGAACCCCCAAACCCTAAAACCCTAAAACCCTAAGAAAACCCCCCGAACCCCACACGCCCCTCAGATCATCAGCAGCGCCATCGTCAACAAGCCGCCTCCCACGTGCCTGGTGCGCGTGCTGCAATGGTCGGGTCGGGCGGGACTCCTCAACCGGGGCACACGCAGCCACCTGAAACACACCTTCCGGGACACGGCCACACGGAACCAGCTGCTCAACCTGCGCAACTGGTGCGAGGTGGAGGAGGACCGTACGGTGGGTCACTTAGCTGTGTGCATGTATGCATGTATGTACGTATGTATACGTGTGCAGAGGGAGGTTGGGGGGGGGGAGTTGGAGGAAGGAGAGGGGGAACGAGCACCGTCCTGGGGGTGTTCTTGCTCCCCTAGTCGAGAGAGAGTGTGCGTGCGTGCGTGTGTATGTGTGTGTGTGCCTCCCCTCCTTTCCCCCCCAACACAATATCGTATCCACCTCCCCCGGCGGCCCCTCCTGCTCCTGCACATGCGAAATACACACACATACATACACATACACACACAGAGCGGTGAGTTGGTCTTCACGTTGCGCGTGGAGCCCGAGCTGCCCAGGACCGCACCTGCTGCTGGTGGTGGTGGTGCTGATGGTGGCGGCGGTGGCCGCGACGGCTGCCTGGGGGGCGTCCTCCGGTGCTGCCGCTTCACAACAACCGCTAAAGACAACCATCAGCAGCAGCAGCAGCAGCAGGAGGGGGAGGAGGAGGGACGGGGGGGTGCAGCGGTGGCGGCGGCGCCAGCGGGGGCATCCGTGGAGCAGATGACGTACGGCAGCAGCGGTGGAGACCTCGGCAGCGGTACGGCGGCGGCGACGACTATGGCGACTGCGGCGGGGAAGGTCGGGGTGCGGGGCGGCAGCGGCGGCGGTGGAGGGTACGGTATTCGCACTTACACCGTACGAGTGCCGCCCCTGGAGGTGTTACGGCCGCCGCTGGGTTCCTTGGAGCACGCTTTGGTGCTGGGGAAGGATTTTTAGAGGGAAGGGGAGTATGGGGAAAAATGTATGTTTGTGTGTTTGTGTGTGTGTTTTAGGGGGGACCCGACACCTGTGGTTAGGTTCGGTTTGTAGCCGGGATAGCAGTGTATTAGGGATGAGTTAAATTATCGGTTATTGTGCACCACCATCGAAGGGTGGGGGACCTAAGGAGGCTCCACCTCGGGGGCGCGGGGTCGGGGTGGTGGTGGTGGTGGTGGGTGAGAGGCGTTGTCGTTAGGAGGAGGTGGCATTGTCCTGGATTCCCCCTTCTCCCCCGCCTCTCCCGGCCCATGGGTGCATGTGTGTTTGTGGGTGGGTGGGCGAAGTGGGGGGGGGGGGAGGGAGGAGAGGGGGGCTGTGCAGCATGGCCGAGTAGACAGCGGTGATGGCATCTGTCCGTGAAGGCAGGGGCATAAATTACATGCGGGTGCCCCTCGTCAAGGAGGACACCCGTGTGTTTTGTGCCTTGTCCCCCCGCGTGCCACCCAGCCGCGCGAGTGTCGCCGCCCCGCCGCTTCCAACCCTTTATGGGTCGGGTATTGCTGACGTTGTTGGAGTGTTGGACCACTGGATTCGGCAACTGTTCGAATTGTTGGACCGTTGGACCGTTGTGCCGTTGATAGGAATACCGTTGGAATGTTGTACAGATTGAGATGTGTGGCGATTACTTGGTGGTGCGACGGGCGCTGTGGGAGGCGCAATCAAATCCCAACTTCGTTTCCTCCAGTCAGTCTTTTGGCCTCCGACCGAATGGGGGCGGACGCGGGAGGGTGATGGAGGAGGAGAGGGGGAGAGACCATTGGGGTGGCTGCGCGAAGTAACGCGTTTGGATAGCGAGGATAGGGAGCGGAGGATGGCGGTGAGCGGGAAGAGGGGCGCTGCCTGGCAGTAATGTGTGCAAGGTCGGGCTGGGGGGAAGCCCCTGATCGTCGTCCCCTCCTTGATGCGGCAAAATGATTTTGCAAAAGTACAAAAGGGCAATAAGGTTCCTCAAATACTTTTGGATTTTGAATAATTCGCAACGGTTACCTTTTGCAAAATTCGTGAGAAGGAGATTAAGGGCGTTTGCTGCTGATGTTTCTCAAATTTTCGTTGATTTCGTCATTTTTGGACCGTCACCCGATTCACAGAACCCCACAGTTCCTTGCATGCGAGTCCCTAGGCGTCGCGAATCCGGCGCCCTCGTTACCACTACCCACAGCAAGTGAGATCTGGAAAAGCCGGCAAACCTAGGGAATGGAATTTCTGTGAAAGCAAGGGTAAACTTCCCAAGGAGATCGTCTTGTCTTGTCACACAAGAGGACAATCATATCCGCGGACCAGCAACAGCAGCTTTCCGTGGGACTCCCACGGAATAGACGGATAGACTCGGAGTCTATGGGAGCGATGATTTACCCGCCAAACTTTAAACAGCATCCCCTGCAGCAGTCATAATAAGAGCTCAGCAGTTGCGCCCTCATATGGGACACGCAGCGTCCAGGTCTCCGATTAAAATGTACGCTGGCACAGACGCGCGCACGACCATACACACAAACACAGACATACACACACAAAGGATAATACATGTATCGACATTATTACGAATACCCTGCCAGACTATATTATACAGGTACCTCGGGATGCCGTACGGCCTTTCGGCCTGCAGCTCGACGAGGTATGGCAAAGAGTGAGTCATCCCCCAGCGCAGCCCACGCCAGGCCGACGTTTACTGCCTCTAAGAATCACGCATACGCAGGCTTTTTCCGCACATATGAGGAAAAAAGCACAATGCTGAAGTCTCTTAATGCTTTACGAATCACTTCTTTTGATAAGCAGCCTTAATCCACATAAGCCTTAGTTCAGGCGCAATGCTGAAAGCTCTTTTCGGCAGCATTCGCGGTGCCGGCCACGGCCAGGTCGAGAATGCCCCCACCTCTGCGGATGTTCTCGCCGCACGCTGTGCTTCCTCAGCCCCTTCGCCTGCTGGTCCTCAGGCCGCCGCCCCGGGGGATGTCGGCTCAGCAGGAGGCGGTGTTCTACTGAGCCTGCCTTTCACGGTAGGATCCTGGCTTAGTTCGGCGGCTAGTCTTGATGATGATATACTGCCTTGGTGACGTGGCGGAGTGGATTCAGTCAACATCTTTTTTGCACCAATTCAACTTTCCGCGACCCGCTGGGTCTCTGTAATGTCTCTGTAACTAAGCTACGCGCATCAGGGATTTCCTACTTAAGAAAAGTTCAACCTGAACAAAAAAGGCAACTCTGAAATCTATGGATTTTTTAAGGAGAGGAAGCGAAGGCCTTTGGAAGGCCTTTGGATAGGGCATAACCCGATCAGTCCGTCAACTTATCGTTTCATAAGTAAACCCAATAACCAAACAAACAGAACTGGCAGCTAAAGATGTCACCACGCAACGTCCGGGGCACCTTGCGTCTACTACCATCTCTTTCCTAGCCCAGAGCCGTTGACATTTTTTCCATGTGGATGCTTGCGCTTGTAATTTACAGTTAATATGCCGAAACCTAGATGGCCAGGCCAAACCGCACGCGTAGTTCCAACCTCATTTCCTCTCTCACCTCCTCCGCCTGCTCCTCCTTGCCGCAGGTCACCCTTCGCGAGGTCAGCGGCAATCTGGACCGCACCTTGGCCCGGGGACCGCTGCGTATCACCACCACCACTACCACCACCACCACCACATCAACACCGTCACCACACGGCACACCCGTACACGGCCACGGCCGCGATGGCGGCGGCGGCGGCGGCGGCGGCAGCGGAAAGGGGGGAGTCCCGCATGTTTCCCTGTGGGTGGGGTCCGCAGAGTTCCCCCTGTCGGCACCGCGGGGGCCGGGGAGCGACCTGACGCCGCACAGTTCCCCGCCCCGTGTGGTGAGTACACCTCGACTGGGGTAGGGGCTAGGAGGAGGGGAAGTGGGGGGAACCATGTCATGCGTTACAAGCTCAGCAAAACACAAGTGTGTGTGTGTGTGTGTGTTTGGGGGTTTGCCCCGTCTATGAAAAGGGGGGGAAAGGGGCTAGGGGGGGATGTTCAGGGGTTAGGGAGGAGGAGGAGGAGGAGGACAAGGTCGGCCTGGGAAGCATGCAGCTTGGCTCTTGGTCGGTTCCATTGCGGCCGCCAAGAAGGGTGCTTTTGGGGTGGGGGGGGGAGGCTGGGCACTCCACACACACCCGCACCCGCATACACACACGCGCGTCATTTGGCACTCAGCACTCGGCGCCGCCGCCCTTCCCGCCCTCCTCCCCGTCGTACGGAAGCGCGGGACCAACTCACAGAGCTATGGTACGGCGGCAACCGCTGCCGTGCCGATTCTGTGTCACCGCATCGACTCCCGTACGCTGCAACTGACCCTTGGGTCAGTGAACCACCACCAACAACAAGAACCTGGCGAAGTCGCTGGTGGCAGCGGAGGCGGAGGCGGAGGCGGAAGAGGCGAAGGTGCCATGCAATCCCGCGCTATCCCCTCTCCCGCCTCCACCCTGCTGCTCGTATTCCCCGGGGACGCCACCGACCATGACGTGTCTCGTACGGCAGCCGTACTCTCGGACTTGGCGAGTGGGAGGGGTCAGGTCACCCCAGAGGCGCCCGCGGGTGAGTGAGAGCGTTACGATAAGTCACGTTAGGTTCCGTTAGGTCCGGTTCTTATTTCCCTCCACCTCCTCCTCCACCGGCTCCAGCTCTCCAGGTTCCCAAACCAACCCAGCCCCCATGCCGCCAACCGGTACCGTACAGGAGCTGCTGTGTACGGCACCCAGCCGTCGCCGCCGCAGCCGCCACCGCCGTCGCCCAAACCCACTACCGCCGGCTCCCCTCCTGGAGTTCTCTTCCACGACACGGACCCGGCTCGCTCGCTGGGCTGGAAAAACAACCAGCCTGTACGACTAACCCACCTCGAACGCGTCCTGCCGCCGCCGCCGCCGTCGGGGGTTCTGCAGCAGCGGTCCAGGGTAGGCGGAGGGCTACTGGCGGCGGCGGAGGAGGCGGCAGCGGAGGCGGCTGGTACGAGTGGCGGTGATGGCGATGACGATGGTGGTGGCGGCGGTCGCAGCCTGTTTGGTTCGAGGGGCGCGGAGGCTGGCAGTCCCGGCGGCACCCGGCTGGGGAGGTTGCGGGGGCTCGCGCTGGGCAGTGTGTGGGGGAGTGTGGCGGTGGCCAACCTCGCATATGAAAAGGTGAGGAGGGGTTTCAATGTCTTTGTGGAGGGTGTGGCGCGGGGAGGGGAGTTCTATACAAGTGACGCAGCAATGGCGGTGGTGGTGAAGCGGGGGAGGAAATGGGGAGGGAAATCCGCTATCGTGATTTCGTGTGTGTTTTGGTTGAGTGGGGGCCCCGGGGGGCCTTCCCGAGACCACCAACGATATCTTTCCCCCCAGGGCCGGGGCCGGGGCCGGTCGGCGAAGCGAGGTCCCTAGCACTGAGCTGAGGGGTGATGCCAGTGTACGACATGGACTTGGACATGGGCGCGTCCGTGGCGCTGATCGCTCCTCCCCACGATAGCCACCTCACCCACCCGCGTACATGTGTGTGCGTGTGTGCGTGTGTATGTGCGTACGTGTGTACGTGTGTATGTGCATACGTGTGTATGGCGGCGTACTTCCACAGGATGTTCGGGTGCGGTACAGTCTGGATGGCTGGGCGTCGTACGGCGAGGTACGGATTGGGGAAGTTGGATAGGGCGCTTACGCAGCAAGGTGGGGTGCAAGTTCAGCAGACATACATACATACATACATAAGCACATACATATGCATGACCAGATCAAAGTAGTGGGAGATTCCCCTTTCCATCCCCTAACCTGAAACGCGCGGGGAGGGGGGAGGGGACTGCGGTGACGGTGTCTTCGGAGAACAAATCGATGTGCCTTCAACGGCGATGGCGACTTAGGGACGTTGATATCTGTATGGCTTAAAGCTTAATCAGGAAATATGAGGTGCGTGACCTTTTCTTCGCCGGTTTGCTGATCCGGTTTGCCTCTTCTCTTCTCTTCTCTTCCCGCGTCGGAGTCATCATCCCGTAGCATCAGAGCACCCGCGCGCATGTCGACCTTTTCCATCCCCCCGACCCCGACCCCGCCCCGCCCACCCCCCCCAAAACCCGCTTTCTTCTAGGTTACTGCCAATTGGGACAAGCGCCTGGGACCAGGAGCCGATAACTTCAACTTCGCCATCGACCTGGACCGTGCAGCGGCGGAGTACGGCGTCGCGCTCCGTACCACTCTGGCCGCCGGCAACCACGTGACCCTCGGCCTTGCCGTACACTATCAGGTGGCGTCAGGCCAAGAGGCCGGGGGGTATTGGGACAACAACGAGGGAACCAACTACACCTTCGACCTGCCCTGCGAGTAGGGGTTCGAGGTGGTGGTAGGGGGAGTGGATGTGGGGTGGAGGGAGAGGGGCGATAGCTCCTCTGAAACACGGAGACTGCCCCGCTGAGGGGCTCTTAAAGGGTCGTATGTATGTATATGTATGTATGTGTGTATGTGTGCTGCGGAGAGAGGTGACTTGAGGCGAGAATGCGAGCTACTAGTGCCCGTCACGTGCTTTCCGGTGGGTTGTGGAACGAAGGAGCGCCACGAATGAGGGAGCTGTTGAAGTGGAGGAAGAGTCGCATATTGCGTACGGAACACACCGTTTGTAATGTGTAGCCATGTTGCCAGACCCCCCTATCTGGGTTTTGGGGTGTTAAGGTCGTGAGAGGGGAGAAAGTCGGCACGTCCCCCATCTGATGTGGTGTGGTGGGAGCAGTAATGCAGAGTGGGATGAGAGCTGCTCCTGAAGCACTTCTCGGAAAGGCTTCCTTCTCCGCTGGAGGGCGCCCGTTGGTTGGGCCCCCAATAGAAGGAAAGGCGGGCGGGCGGGAAAGTTTGGGAAGCGCTTTGCTTGCATAGATGCGATTACGATGCGGCCTCCTTGACCCATTCCGGTTCGAAAGTATGATTGAAGGAAGATTTGAATAGTTCTGTAAGGTGCAGGTAAAGAAAGAAGTTGCAGCAATTCGTAGCAGCGGATGATACGTTCGGACGGTCAGTGAGGCTCCGTTGCTCGCTCAGCCACTTCCCACGCTGTCGGGTGTCAACTTCCCTGCACCTTTGCTTTTCATTTGTTGATGTTGTTGATGCTGTTACAGGGTGGTACAGCTTCACCAGTGGCCTCCTTCCCGGGGCAGTTCCCTGCTCTCCCCTGCTAGAGGGGCACCCTAATCCGTTCACCCCATCCGACTTCAGAATGTACTCTTTGGGTTAGGCAACTTACCACCAGCATCCAACCAAATCTAGCGGATCAACGGCGCCTCAACTTAGTTCCTGGTCAGCTCGCAAGCTGCTATTATCACGTCCTACACCGTCCATAAGATGGTGGGCCACCTCCCATTTCACCGCCCCTCACACACCGAGGGGTCGGCAGGTGGACTTGAACCCGGAGACTCAGGGAGCAGAAGTCAGGCCTTAACCTCTGCCAGCCAGCTGCCATTTGTGTATGCTCACACTCGCTTTTTTAAGCCGATTAGCCCATTTCACCTGTGCATCGGTTCCTGATACGCTGGCAGGCGGTTTTCTCCCTGCGCATTCTGGCTATGATTTCCTTTGAAGCCATATGGTAGAACAGATATTTTCTGACTGCTTGTGGAGCGATGGGCGATAGGTTCCAGTTCCTGGTGGTCCGACAGGTTCCAACTCGTTCCAACTTTCCTTGCTACGCCTGACAAAAAAACTATCAGAGATGATTATTTCTGACATTATGAAAACGTCAGACCCTGGTTCGTAGATTCTGTAGGTCTAAACTTTTGATTCGTCGAGACGAGACTCTTTAAGCCAAGCTGTGTTAAAACCTGTCATGACGAGGCTTGCGTAACGAGGCGGTCCGGTCGGGTTGGGTCTCATCAAGTTGTTGTTTCCCTTATACAAGGGAAAATGATTTTTGGTGGGCAGTGACGGGTACATGTGAATTTTTGACTGTCAGTACGGGACTGGGCGATGTTAATAGCGATCGTTTCATGGCCGCTGTCATACTACCGCTTGCATACTTTGTTGTGATGGTTGACGTGTATGGTTAAAAGACCTTTGACACCCCTGATGTGTGCGATCCCGTGTGATGTGCGTGTATTCATCTAAACGTGCAGGGAAGGGTCCGCTATTCATATGATGTCAAAGCTGGAACGTGCCGTGACCCTCTGGAACCTGTACATCACCGCTTGAGCACGCAGCGCCTTAGAGCAACGTGCCGGGTCTCCCAAATTTCCGAGAGGAACTTGGCTAGTGCCAGGGGTGGGGCCTCGGCGCATATCGTGCCCTTGAAACACGAGGTCACGTTCATATCTAGCCCTTGTACTGGAGTAAGCTGGGCATTCAGTAAAAACGTGCATTTCATCTTCGAGTGCCCCACCTTCACATCTGTTGATGCTTGAACCAAGGCGTTTAAACGTGATACTCTGCTTGGACATTTCCGGCCGTGTCATACGGCTCGGTGCACTGCAGAAATGGTGTGGGTGTGCAGCTTCGTCAGCCTGCTTTTTATGTTTCCAGTCTTATACTTCATTTCATCATTTACCCGCTGTAAAATTGGATTAAGGGGTATTTTATTACGCACTTGCAGTGCCATCGCCTCGCGCCTGTATGGCAGTGTGTGTGTTTCTGTGTCATGGAACCCTTGGATTAGGATTGGGGCCCCCAGCCAAAATTAAGGTTACTGAACCAGTCACACTATAACGTTTGCAATACAGCTCCACGACACGGCCAACAGGATTGGGATTGGGACCCCCGCCTCAGGATCAGGATTGCGGTCCGGCCACAGAATTAGGATTGGGATACTGCAACGAGATGTGGATTACAGCCAACCGCCCCTAGGATATGGATAAGACCACCACTCTGGATTTGGAATTAGAAGTAATCCACCCCTGTTGAGATTAGAGAATGGCTGACCGGTACCCACTCCCTGGATTAGTGGATTAGGACCCAGTTGCAGACCAGACCTGTATAAGGACAGTGGCGCGGCAGTGTACATCCCCCTCCTGGGCTAAAGTTACAAGTTCCTGACAGACCTCCTCTTTATTGTTACTAGGGTCTAGTTTACTGCACCCTAATAACAGATGGGGAGCCGGAACGTAATAGAAGCTGGGAAACCATGGACGGTTAACATTTCTATCTATCGTTGTGGCGCCGGAAGGGCGTCGACGTCCCCCCCGGCTCGCCAGGCTCGACGCGTCTGGCGGCGCCCCGCGTGCCTTGCCGGTCACACCCCGAACTCCAGAAGGAGTTAGAGCCGCACCCATCCTCGTCTTGTAGCACACTCAGTCAACGGCGTGCAGCACCGGCGTTCATCACCCGCAGCAGAATAAGCTCGCACGCTTTTTTGGTGCTGCCGCTGCGCCCCACTTGGAGTTGGAGATTGGAGAAACCCCTTGATCCGGATGTTGTTGTACGGCAGCGGCGGAGGATAGGATGGGGCCGGTTTACCATGTACATGTATGTATGTATGTATTGCCTTCGTTAAAAGCTGGTTTCCTTGGGAACATATGTGGGGGGCTTTGGGGCGGTGGCGGAGGTGGATCCGCTCCAGAACTGGTGGTGGCGGATATGGTGTATTGAGCATGGACGCGGTGGTGAAAACGTTTTCTCTGCGCAGTCTGTTGGGTTCGAGCCGGACGGATGCAGCGGCGGTGATAGGATGGGGGCGGTTATGCGGGCCTTTGGCTCTGGCCTGGGAACTGATGAGGAGCAAGGAGGGCGAAGGCAGTTCCGCGGCGGCAGTTCCGCAGCTGCCTGCACCTAAGAAGCTTAAAATGTGTGATGTGAGGATATGGGGACGGGATGGGATGTTTTTTGGAAGGTCTAGACGATGTTCCGCCAGATGGTCAAGGACGGCGTTTGCAAGTAGGGTTGCATAGAATTGTAAATATTTATGGACGGCTCCCACGAAAAGTTAGAAATGGCAAAGACTGGACACATGATACATGCACATGCATTCCGTTGCGCTCTTCTAGAAAGACATGACAAGGGGCTCACGCGCAGCGTAACACTGTACCCCGCAGAGTATTCCGCATCGGGAGTAGTGGCACATCGGCGCGTAGGCTTGCAATGCTTTGCAAATCCTGAGCTGCGAGAAAGCGATGCATGCCGCCGTTGCAAAATACGTTCTCATCGCTGCTTCATTGAAGCTAAGAGTGACGCCAGCTGCTACGAAGCGGCAACGTTAAAGCTGCGCGTTGACGCAAGATTATCCAGTTTTGGGGACGGACCATGACCCTCCATGACGGCTGCCGAGCGCCAGCCGCGCCAGCACGCCTTGGAAGCGCGGGACGAAATGCAATGACCGCGACGCGGCAATTATGGACCCAACCGGCAGCTTACGCGTGCAGCCGCTTTGCTTCAATCTGCTTGGACGAAGGTAGCACAGACGCGCGGTAAAGAGTCCTTCAATGTCGCGGCTATTGTCTGATTATTGTCGGTGTCATGTCGTACGAAAAAGGCGCGGCCATCCCACCATTTTTTAGCTCCCTGACACTTGCGGCTTTCGCTGTTGGAGCAGATCGTGCCTGTTTTACAGAACCCACCCTAATGAAAGAGCTGTCATGGATGCTGCACTGCAAAGCCAAAGCACGGGCGGCAGTTTGGAGGTAGTGGCTTCCGCCGAAGGGGACAAACCGCAAGCCCTCTACTATTGGCTCTCCGGAACCCAGCAGCAAAAACAACGCCACGGAAAAAAGCGACGTAACATCTGGATTTCCTCTTAGCAGCGACAGCGCGAGCATGAGCAGCAAAAGCAACCGCAGCGCCAAAGACAGCGAAAGCCGCCAGCCTTTGCCTCTTTTAACATCTCTAGACTCTCCTGAAAAATACGATGAATCACGACAAGAACCTCAACAATCATCAAAGGCAATAAAATTACCGGAGTCTCTAGCTCAGGCGCAGGCGCAGACGCCGCGCAAGCAGGACGAGCTGCAGGACCAGCAACGGCACCTCGCGCAGGGCAACGAACATTTCCGACATGCGCAACTTGCGCGAGAGCTGGCCTTCTCTGCGTTCTGCCTTGTTGTTCCATTGATGCTGGTGGCGATTCCCAACATGCGAGATCTGCAACGGCAGCGACAGCGACAGCAGCAGGCCTTTGCTGCCGCGGCTGCGGCTGCGGCTGCGGCTGCAGGCGGAAGTTTTTCATCGACCCCCCCTGAGTTGTCGTTGTTGTTGGAGGAGGGGGATCCGGAGGAGGGCGTCGGGAGCTGCGGCGCCCAGCGAGCGGCAGGATGGCTGCTGCCGGACTTCCCCTGCAGAGCTGATTTCTTACAGCAGGTAGGACTTACCGGAGTTACTAGTTTCGACTGTCATGCAATCGTGTCGTACATGCACTGCCGTACATTGTCGTACTCAAGTACGGCAGAGGGCGAAGGCGGGAGGGACTGATTTGGGTCGGAGCGTTTTTGAATGGCTATACGGGGCATTTGGAAGGTGAGGGCGGGAAAGAAGGGACGAGGTTACGGGAGGTCTTGCGGTGATTCCATTGAGGACCACATGTGTGTGTGTGGGGGGGGGCCATGAGGGGTCCATATGTGGGTTAAGACGAACCACCGGCGGAAATGGAGCAGATACCAAAGATATAGATAGACGGGTCGTCCAGGATAAGATAAAGGGTACAACTTCTACCGATGCCCTCCAACCTCTCTCTCCCTTTTCCCTCTCTCTCTCTCTCTCTCTTTCGCTTCTCCGGCACGTCTTCTCTTCCCCTCTTCATGGACCGTCCGCCCGTCAATCTTCCTCTCTTAACCTCAACCTGAAACAGACTTGGCATCCACTTATTGCACCACCACAGGCCCTTCACGTCTTCTCAAGGCCTCGCTTCTATCTCCTGGAACGAGCAATTCTCATGGGTGATTGGGTTCTGCTCACGTGGTACGCCGTACATCTGACTGTCGTACTTTTCACTGGTACACTTCTCGTAGCCGGAGCTGTCGGCGCTGGAAGGGAGCGGTCGCGGCCCGCGCAGGCGCGCATGTGGGTGCTGCGGAACCCCCGCGGCCCAGCGGCGGGTACGACAGACGGAAACTCGCCTCGCGCCGCGGCCGCCTCCGTTGCGGCTGGCGCCACGCCAGCAGCAGCCGCGACGGCGTTACTGCAGCGCACTTGGGCGGCGTACCGAGAGCCATTGATGCTGGCTGGCGCGCCGTACAAGTGCGGGATAGTAGTGTTATCGCATGCCGTACATTGGGCATTACGCCACGGCTCCGTACGGCCATGGCATTGGCGCATGACGGGGGCGGGGGGTCTGGGAGTGGCGACGCACACTCGGCCCTGGACGATGGCGGCGCTTGCGGTAGCGTCAGCGGCATGTCATCGGGTACGGCAAGTTCAATCGTACGGAAGATGGGGACCTCTAAAAAATGGAATTGCGCCGCCGCCGGCTCATCAGTATCATCACCATTATCATCATCATTATCATCATCATTGTCATCATCATCATCACCATCGTCATCACCATCCCTGTTGCGCTTTCGCAGGTTCGCCCCCGGATGCTGACGTTGACAGCAGTCTGTGCGGGCTACGCCTGTGTCGTACTCACGCTGTTGGCGCATCGCATGGTGGGGCTGAGGCTGGTTCCGGAGCCGCCGCCGCCGCCGATGACTCAAGCGGTGGGTCTGGATCTGGATCTTGATTTGGATTTGGATCTGGGCCTAGACGGACCCACGGGTCATACAACACCGCGGGAGGCGTACGGCGGCGGCAGCGGCCGCCGTAACGCCGCGCTCAAGGCGTTACTGCGTGTATTACTGGTGCACGGCGCTCCAATTCTGTACGTCAGCGCTCCGGCTTTGCTTGGCTTGGCTCGCTCAACTGCCGCGCGGCTGCGGGGGATTCGGATCCTGACCTGGAGCCGGATCCGCATCGGCGCGGCGGCGATAACGATGGCGACGACTATGACGACAGCGCGGCGGCGGTACTGGCGGTTTTGGGCCCCTGTGCGGTCCAGGGGTTGGTGGCGGTGGGTGGCGGTGGGGGGAAGGAGGAAGGAGGAGGAGCAGCATCCAGAGGTGATAGAAGAGCAACAAGAGCAGCGGGAGGAGGGCGACGGAGGCAGGAAGGCGGCGAAGGAGGGGGGTCGGACTACGGGGTGGGAATTGGCGGCAACGGCGCCGGAGGAGAAGGCGGAGGTGGTGGCGGCGGAACGGCTGCAGCAGCCGCCAGCGCAAGTGGCGGCGGCAGCGGCGGCGGCAGTAGCAGCGATCTCAACAGCAGCTCCTCGACCCGGCAGTAGCAGCGGAGCCCCTCACTACTTATCACGCTGTCGAAGTGGAGGCGAAGGAGGGCAACTGAAGCGACAGCAGCAGCAGCAGCAAGCGCAGGGACCCGTATCGTCCGCTGGTGAAGCGTCAGGAGCAGCGGTATCGACTGCTGTTGCGGATATGCCCGCCTGCCCTGCCGCTGCCGCTGCTGCCGTGTCTGACGCCGCAGAAACCGCCGACGCCGCCAACCCCACTGCCGCCGTACTCGCATCGGAGGCAACAGCAGTCAGCGGCAACAGCAGCCGCGGACGGGGCCTTGGTGGCACAGCCGCTTCCACGGCCGCCGCCGCCGCCGCCGCGTCGGCCCCCCCGGAGCGCCCCGTCAGCGTGCTGTACAATCCATCTCAGAAGCGTCGTACAACAACAATGGTCCTCAGTGCCAAGGTACGGTACGGTACGGACGTTGAAGGAAAGGGAAAGCAGTGGGTAGGTGGGGGGCAGGTGTCAGGGCACGGTATGCACATCCGGTATGCATTCATATGTACGGCAGGACAAGAGAGACTCCTGGGGAGACTCCGCACCCTCCAGCGTTTACTCTGTTTTCCGTTGCTGTTCTCTTTCCGTTGGCTGTTTGTCGTTGTGGGTTTGATTTCCGTCTCTCTGAATGAACAGCTGTTGATTGCGTGCTGCTTGCCAGCTGCGCCATTTCTTTATGCAATCGCCAGTGTTTTCGCGACCTTTTCGCAAGTCCGGTGTTGGGCTTTTGCTGAGTTAGATATGAGTTAGTTTTTCTGAGAGCCGTCGATCCAACATCTATATAATATGCAACATATTAAAACGAATCTAGCAAAAAAGCGCAGCAAAACCTGTTACGAGAGCTATCCGCACTATTTCGTAATATAGCTGTGGAATGCCTGAGGAATGAATTGCCTGAACTCCGGGAGGTCGTTTCCACTCTCCCTCTCACTCTCCCTCACTCTCACAAAGCGATAAAGACTCTCGCTTCTCGCGTCACGAACATCTTTAATCGCTCTCAAGCACTATCTGCGCCGAAAACGCTGGCTCAACCCGTCCCTCCTGTAGTACGACATTCCGAACGGCATGTCGTACGACGAAGCCGCCGCAGCTCTCCGAGCCGCGGCGACGAAGGCGGCGCACAATGTGCTGACGGCCGCTACCTCCCGGAGGAATGTGCGGGGCGCCATCATCACTCATACCGCCGTCCGCGACTACAATGGTAACAAACAGCAACAACAACAGCAACAGCAACTGGAGCAACAGCAACAGCAACTGGAGCAACAGCAACAGCAGCAACGACAAGTGCCCATCCGGATCAGCTCGCAGGCGGCCACGCAGCTGGCATCGGCGCCAGCACCGCCAGCAGCTTCAGAGAGGCAAAACCTCCGTACTGCCGCTGCGTCCACCGCCGCCGCCGCCGCAGCAGCAGCAGCGTCACCGCCGCCGCCGCCGCCGCCGCAGCAGCAGCAGCAAGTAGAGTCAATGAGCAGCAGCAGGTCCACAACGACCGCGGAGCAGCAGCCGTCACAACCAGATGTATCGCATGGCTCGGATCCGGATCCAGCCAGGCCAAATTTGGATCCGCGGTCAACGGCCCCCCCGGCATGGCGACATGGGCGTGATGAAGAGGCCCATAGCGGGGCACGGAATCCGGGGGATGCGCGCGGAGTACGGGGACGGGGGCAGAGGAAAGGCGGCTTTGCGGGCCGCCCCGAACTCCCCAACGACATCATCGCCGACAGCAGCGGCGGCGCCCCCCGGTGGGTCCGAAGAGCTCCCTGGAACGTCGAGTGCCTTACCCTCCCCGGCTGTGTACAGCTAGTCGTCGTAGTACGATTGTACGACGGCGAGGACGGCACCGGTGCTATCAACACTGGCGATTGCAGCAGCAGTATGGGCTGGAGCAGCCGCAGCGGGCGGTTGGGATGCGGCGGCGCCGCCGCCACTACCCGCCGAGATTGTGGCGGTGGCAGCGGCGGCTGTAGCTCTCTTCAGAACGGCGGCATAGGCAACGTCCCAGGCCAAGTGGGCGAGGTAGGGGATGGTGAGAGGGAGGCTGGCGCTGGCGGGGCTTCGGGGGCGGCGGCGTCAGCGGCGTCGGCGGCGGCATGTGGCCTGGTCCCGCGATTACGTCGGTGCGTGTCCGCCGCCGCCCGGCAGCTGGGTCTGCGGGAGATGGCCTTGAGTGGCACAATGCTACAGCGGCAGCTACAGCTACAGCCCCGACAGTCGGCAGCAGCAGCGGCGGCGGCGGCGGCAGCAGCCGGCGGTCTAGATGCCGCCGCCGCCGCGCCCCCAGCAACGGCAATCAACGGCGGTGATGATTGCGGGGCCTCTGCGCTTCCGTACATCGTGCCAGCTGTGCTGCCGTACGACGCCACGGGCACCGGCCTTGCGGAGTCGGCGGCGGACAGCGAGTGTCGCCTGTACTTGCCGCCGAACTATCTGGAGCCATGGGCGCCTGTCGTACACATGGGAGAGACGCCACGGCTGCTGCTGCCGCCGTCGCCGCCGCCATCGCCGGCATCCCCGGCGTCCCCGCTACCCTACCTCCAATCTCATCATGGCAACCCAAATTTCGCGTCGGCGCCTCCGCTGCCGTACAGGCCATGGCCCAGTGGTTTGGTGGTGGTCGCCGCTATCCCGGGATCGACGGCGTCACCCGTTGTCGTACATCCTGCTGAAACCGCTGGCACCGCTGCGGAGCTTACCGAAGCCTCAGAATTTGACCATTCGCCTTCGTCCAGCTCTTCTGATGGTCCCCGTCACGATGATGAGTCCTCATCCGCAGCTGCGGGGGCTCCGTTACGGCTTTCCCTGCCAACCGACCTGATCCGGCGGCTCATGGAATCCGTCGAGGACCGACCCGCGGGTCATTTGGGGGAAAACGGCGCCGCGCGGGATGAGGCGGAGATGGAGGAGGAGGAGGAGGAGGAGGAGGCAGCGGCGGCAGCGGTGGTGGAGGGTGTGGCAGCGGCTGCGCCGGCAAGCAGCTGTAGCAGCAATGGTAGTGGCGGCGGCGGCGGCGGCGGTGTCAGCGGAGACGATGAGGGCATGGCAGCCGACGGCGGCGGCGGGGAGGTCCGGCGTGAGGCCGGATACGGACCCAATGGGGGAGGGGCCAAAAGGCGGCCCTTCCGGGGCGAAGAGGTCCTCCAGGTCGAGGAAGGGGAAACAAGGGGAAGGGCTAGCAGAGCCGCGTGGAGCGATAACCTCAGTCGCACGAGCCGCCGGCCGCCAACACTGCTGGCCCTCCACCTGCTCTATGTGCCGCCGCCGCCGCCGCCGCCGCCGCGGGCATCGCCTTCGTCCTCGTCGCCGACGTTGCCGTCGTCGCCAACTCCGCCGCCGTCGCCAATGTCGGCGGAGGGCAGGCTGGAACATATCGCCGGAGTGGCCTTGCAACCAGCAGCTGATTCGGGCGGTGGCGCTGGCGGTGGCGACGGTGCCGTTGCTTCCGCTGCCGCTACTGCCGGCGGCGAGGGCCCGCTAGCGCAGCAGCCTGCTCGCTGGCTGTGCAGTCTTCCGCTGCTGGTGGCGCCCGAGGGCCCCGTTGGGGAGCTCCGGTCGCTGTGGCAGCGCATGGTGGGCGAGGTGGCAGCAGAGGGGCTGGAGGCGGACAGGGAGGAGAGGGGGAAGGGGGAGGAGGAAGGGGGGGAGGAGGGCGGCTCTGCGGACGGGGTCCCTCTGGCGGCGCTCCGTGCTGCACTGCGGGCGGCGCTGCCCGAGGGTTCCGGAGCTAGTGCGGGTGCGGATGCGGATGCGGTACAGCGGAGTATGGCGGCAGGGCGGCAGCGGCAGTTCCTCAGCCCGGCAATGCTGGCTGAGGAGCAACCGCAGCAACAGCTTCCGGATATGAGCTACTGCTACAGCGCCGTCGAGGGTGCGGCCTTCCACGGCCACTTCGCGCCGCTGCTGGAGGACATCGCCGCCGCCGCCACCGTCGCCACCGCCGCCGCGGGCGGTGGCGTTCGTGGCGGTATTGGTGGCGGTACGGCGGCAGCGTCCGGGTTCCTAGCTGCCGCCAGTCCGAATGAGGAGGGGGTTCTGGCGCCCAGCGGGGGCTCTCGCGGGGTGCGATCCTCCTGCTCGGGAGAGGGGAGGGGGGCGGAGGCGGGTCGACAGCTGCTCACCATCGTGCTCGGGTATTTGGAGGTGCTAGGTCTGACGGCGTGTGCGGAATGGCTGGCCGCCGGTAGCGGCACCGGCGGTGGAGGCGCCGACGACAGTTTCTCTGGCGTCGTCCAGACTCGAGCGGCATCGCCGTCACCGCTAACGCCCGAGTCGCCGCCGTCGATAAGCCGACGGGAAGACGCAGCGGCGGCGCACGGCAGGGACAGCGGCGGCGGAGGCGGAGGCGACAATGACGTAAGGCCGGTGCAGGTCAGAGACCTGGAGACAGCGTCTGGTGTGATGAACAACCACCCGCTGCTGCTGCTGCTGCATTCGCTGAGACGACGTAGTGCTGGTCAACAGCAGCGGCAGCGACAGCGCTGCCACCAAGTGAGACCTTGGGTCCCCGCCGCTGTACGGCACGTTGCATCGCATACCGTCCGCGCCACCGCCGCCGCCGCCGCAGCGTATCGTGCGATGGGCGGCTTTGCCGATCCTGTCGTAGAGGCTGCCTATACGGAGTGGCGCATTCGGGGTGCTCCAGGGGGGTGGGGGCCGCTGGCGGCGGCCGCCGGTGTCGGCGGCGTCGGCGTGGTGGTGACGAAGCTGCGGTTGGACCGGTACGGCATTGACCGATCGCTGGTCAAGGCGCTGGCGGGCATGCTGTGGCTGCTGTCGCCTATGGCGGGGCAGTACGTGCGGACGAGCTTGCTGGCGCTGCTGCTTCAGCGCCGCGAGCGACCCATGGGTCCTAAGCCTGGCTGTGTCTCAACGGAGGGCCCAGCAGGGAGAGTTGACGTCACGTCTGCGCCGTCGGACGGCGGCGGCCTTCCACCGCCGCCCCCAACTCGGCCCGTAGCCGCGGCGGCAGCGGAGGCTGTGGTAATGACGAGCCTGCCGTGGTACGACGCCCTAGCAGCGGCATGTACGGGCTTGCTGGCGAGCGTGCTGGGCTTGGTGACGTACACCTGTAGCCGACCGGAACTGGATGTACGGCAGGACGAGGCGGGGTTTGTATTCGGCATCTTCGCGGGGCGGTCTGTTTTCCCCCCGATCGCGACACAGCTTCGTCCTGTAGCCCAGATGTTGGTGAGTGGCGGGATGGCGGCGGTGGATTTTGTGCATGTGCGCGTGCTGTGGGGCGGTGCCGTACGGCCGGCACTGCTGGTAGCGGCGGTGGCAGCGGTGGCGGCCGTCAATTTGGGTGTCAGCGCGGCGCTGGATGCGAGGCAGCGGCGGGCTTTCACGGCGGCGGCGGGGACGTTTGCGGGGGTGGCTGCCGCCGGACGGACGGGTGCTGGCGCTGGAGGGAAACCACCACCTGGCAAGAGCTCCGAATCCACCGCTGAGTAGCGGAGGATAACGGGAAAGGAGTATTGGTGGATATCATCCGTCTTACCAACGAGTGCAGCGTGAGGAGGGTTCTGTTCCTGCGCGTGTTGCTCTTTTTTGTGTCGCTCATCTCTCTCCGTCTGAGCAGCAACAGGAAAGATTGCAAAAAGGGGGGTGATTTTATGGATGTTTGTTTTTCTTTTGGCCTTGTGTTTGTTGCTCGGGCTCCACGATGAGTCCATTTTTATCTTCCTGGGCCTCTTAATCTTGTTTCTTAATTTTAGGGTTTAGGATTTGTTGGATCGTGGTTGTCTATTCGGATTTTTTTGCGGAAAGGGCTGATAAGTACTTCTGGCTGTGGATCTGGATCTCCTCAGCGCGGCTTACTGTTTTGGCGTTCTGGCACTTATGGATGCCGTCTGTTCTGTTGCAAAGAAGATTCGTTGTTTTTGAGTAGTTGCGGTCTCTGGCGGAGCAGCTATCGAAATGGCGTTACGGCTCTCACGCGTCCTGAGACCTCCTGAGTTGGAGCATCATCCATCAAACTTCTGTCCAAATCTGTTTCAATTTCTCAAAATCCAAATTAGGGTCTCGGCTGTCGGTCGCTATGTTGGTTACGCTTTGTTACATTGCCGGTTGAAATTTTGCGCTCTCGCTGCGGCGGCGGGCCGACGGTTTATAAATAAATATACAAACTCCAAACGTCCGAAAGAAACTACTTCATGAATTTAATTAAATTCGGCCTGGTCAGAGATAATCTCCCTGTAAACGTCAGTACTGTAATGGACTGTGCCGGACCGATAATTATCACTGGCACCTTCGCCTGGTACAGGCCAAAGCCTTATTATAACACGAATAGTCATGAACATACAAGCTTTGGCCTGTACCAGACGAAGATACCAGTACAAAGGCCTGAAACCTAGAAGCTTCTTTTAGAGGATTTGCAAATTGCCGTATTAAAGTCAAGCTCATTTCATATGTGGATATTTATATTGAACGTTTTTCCTTCCCATTCCCTTGGTACATCCATTCTTGGAAGAGCTTAAATAAGAAGTAGGAATATAGGAGCACAAATTTACAAAGCAGAAGCTGATTAAAGAAGCAAAGTTCAGGACACTCGGTAAGACCCGCGTACACAAATCGGCGCTTTTGGCTTTCTTTACCGCTATCCGCAGCACTAGAGGGCGCCATGCTTCACGTCTGACCCACATGAGGACATTTAAAAAGGTTTTAGAACCAAGCCTCCTTCTGCAAAGGCTACACCTTTGCTTGCATCTAACTATAAACTGACCCGTGGGTCACTCGCGATCCACTTCTGTTCGTTTGCTGGCGATTTGCTTGGCTCTCTTTCATAATCAGCCCAATGCATTGCAACTCCAGATCAGCAGAACAGAAGCCTCAGAGCCTCTGTACTGCACACGTGATGTCCTCCTTCAAGCCCTCCAGCATCATAATCACTTCCACCTGTTCCAGCTACAGCCCTTCAGGACTTGGCTGTGCGACCATGGAGGAGGAGGGCGAGGAGGGTGAGGAGGGCGAGGAGGGCGAGGAGCAGCGTTTTTCTAAGTAAAATGTTAATAAAAAAGGAATAAATTGACATTTTGGCTTTTGAAAAAAAGGAATTAATTGAGGCCGACCCGTACCTTGACATTCCTCCAGCCAAAAACGTCCATTTCTGCCAGATTGCTTCGTAGTGTGCAGAACTTAGTATTTTCAATCATAGAATAGATATGAGGGGCCGTAAGAAGGTCAAGCCTGTGAGTCAACACGGCATAGCAGAATGTATGACCGGTCCTCACATAGCCAAACACGCACAAAGCCAAACACGCACAAGGCAATCAAACGTCGAACAAACACCAAAACAGCAAGATAAGCCTGTAAATTTTTGTGATAAAGGCGTTCGGGATGGGGGTGCTGTTGTCGGTAATGCATCGGCAATGGTGTTGCTGCCAGCGGCGACCGATGACACGGGCGATGTTACCCCTGCCCTCCATGGCGGGTGTGAACAGCATAAGCGCAAGCTATCGCCCAATCAGCTTGACAACAACAACAGTGGATGCGGTGAGGCCGGCGATCCATTCCAAGCTGGGGGGGGGCCAGAGCCCCCCCCAGCGCCTCACAATTAATGAATAAATTACGACAACCCTCGCAACTTTGTTACTTAGGTTGGAATAAATTGAGACCCGTCCTAAACGAAAAAAAATCACTGGCGAGGAAGGGGAGGAGGAGGAGGACGAGGAGGGGGAGGAGGGGGAGGAGGGGGAGGGAAAGACGAACCACACACGATTGAAGCTGCTGCCAGGGCAAGAGAGTAACAAACGTAGAACGTAGGAGGGGGAGGGGGGTGATGAGAAGGCCAACCTGCGATGCTTACGTGACGCTTAAGTGAAGGGCGGCAAGCATGACGTGTTCGCATGAAGGTCCGGATCCTCATTCCACAGCTCGACAATACCCGCGTGAGCAGTAGCAGCTGCTACTGCTAGTGGTGCTGCTGCGTGTGGTTAAAGGGGCGGTGGAATATGAGCAAGCCGGATCCCGGACATAAGGATTGGAAAGAAAGCTTGTTGTCATTTTGGATATGTGCACATGTGTTGGTGGAGAAGGTTGGTCCTTGCGTAATTGGTTGTTGGTGTGGTTTGTCGGTGTGAAGCAAGGTGGTGCGATACTTAGAGCGGGTACTTTGCGGGGCGCAGCACAGCCGCACAGCCGCAGGATGCGGTCTAACGGAAACAACGGCAACAGCATCCCGCGACGGCCGCCGGATACAAGAGCCGGATCTAGGAGACATGTCTGTGTGCACGTGCACGTGGCGGTGCTAACTTAGGAGACATGATACGTACGGCACCTGCCACGAGGGGTAGGGCTGGGAGGAGCAAACGACGGTGCCCGGCAGCACGGGCGGCTACAGTGGCAGTGGCAGTAGCCCCAGTGGGCCAAGTGGCCCCAGCGATGAGGTGACGGAGGCGGCTGTAGCAACGCAGCCCCGGGGGACCTGCCCTTCGCTAACCAACTTACTGCCGTACACGCCACACCGCCATCGCCTCAGCTACCGTCGCCACCACCGTTGCCACCACCGTTGCCTCTGCCGCCGCCGCCGCCGCCACACTCCTCCATTATCGCTGCGGCTGCATAAAGGATAGCGGGGGATTTGCGGGTCATGCAACAGCGCAGGCGACCGTGGATTGGCCAGATGTTGATCTAGCTACCTTAGAAGTTACTAAGGGGCCCCGCGGGCAGGCAATGGGCCAACAAATTTCAACTTTGGCGATTTGGGCCATTGATTGGGTTCGCACTTGCTTTCCATGACTGACCAACGTTGATGTGGAGATGTGGAGATGTTCTGAAGCCACCAGAGCTGCCGTACTGAGCCAACATGGCAGTTGGAAATATATCTTAGGTAGATCACGTGTTAAGCAGTAAGATCTTGTCCTTACGTTCGAATGTCTTCAAAAAATTGGCAAGCAGGGAGAGTCCGCGATCAGATATTCGGCCTTCCCCGGAACACTTCATGCCAATCCCAGCCAAGCCTGAGCCAGCGCTGCGGATGCTCCAGCACTGCGCTGGCTTCCTTCAGCATTCCCGTGTTGCGGTATGATGGTGGTGATGGTGTTTCTGACACCACATACCTCCACTGTGATTACAAGCTATAAGTTGGAAATTTGTTCTGTGGGGCCAGGATGGGGACTTGTTTTTCTCGCGTGTGGGGGTGAAGGCCGCGCGCTAACATTTCGCGCGGGTATAAATATAACAGTATTGCTGCCGGCATTGCATAGACAGTCCCACCCTGTGTACCTGTGCAGTGGAATCGTTGACTTTCTCAGCAGCCAAGTTAGTCTATGGCCTGCTCATGGGATCCAATAGATGTAAGGGACACAGTGATGTATGTTCAGATCAACATACAATACGTTGCAAACAGGAGGAACAGTCCTTTATGGACCTACCTCCAGGCCTACCTAGCGCAACAAACGCCGAAGAGCAAATAAAATGGCTTATATCTTTTAAACATAAGGTATTGATTGCAATGTGGGAAATGCAGTTTTCCTGGAATTCATAGCACAGAGATCCGTCATGTCGGGGCGTAGTAACGGTTCTGCACAAGCGCTTCTACCGGTACAGAAGAACGCAAGAGCTTGTCTTGGGTCTTGAATTGCTTCCAATATCCCAATAAGCTGTCTTAGAGGACAAATTGAGGACCCCGCACCCTGAGTTTGGCACTTTACGTAGTGCCCTGCGTTGTTTGTCGAACGACCGGCGTCACAGGACTATTTCGGCTAAGGAACTTTCAAGGACGACTAGTTTTTTTATTTGCAGCTCAGTTCTACATAGCTTAACTGCGCAGGCGTGAACATCTTTCCATTATGTCGGGGCCAGGGTCTCAAAAGATCATTTACAGCCTTGTGGCAAGGGGCCAAGTAGTCCTTGCGGAGTATAGGTAAGCCGCTGCATTTCGTTCCTGAACTTTCCAAATCTCAAGCTGGATGCTCACGACGTGGCCTCAGCTTTCGAGGCGCATCACTTTTGGGCAAGATGATTAGGTTTGCACCCTAATTATTATCATAAGAAGAGCTCCTGCTCTGAGGATGCGGGCAATCCAGCTAGGCAAGCAGCTTCCCGCTGACAGGCACGACCGCCATTCCCTTTCCCCGCCCACAGCGCCGTCACCGGCAACGTAAATGTCATCGCTGTCCGCATCTTGGAGAAGCTGCCCCACGAGGACACGTGAGTAAGACACACACGCACTGGGAAAAGGAAGATAAGGTTGAGCGCAGGTAAAAACACAGAGTTCAGTTTCGATTCGGACCAGGGACCGCGCAGCTTAGCGGCGAATATGAATTCATCCCTTTCTCAAAACTCCGAAACTCCTATCCCTCGCTCCCTTTCCCCTCCCTCCCCACCAACTTCCCCCTGAAAAAACCCTCCCCCAGGCACGTGACGTACACTCAGGAGAGGCACATGTTTCACGTGATAGTCTCCGAGGGCTTCACCTACCTCGCAGTGGCGGAGGAGGTGGGAGAGTGACGCATTTGGGTTGGGGCGATCTGGGTCGACCTCGCCGAACCTTTATTCCCCCGGCCCCCCAGTCGATCGGGGTCTCGCTTCCTCGCTTCACTCGTTGCCCAAGTGTCCTGACCCGACCTGGCCTGCCTGGCCTCACACCTCACACGTGTCCCGCGCGCCACACACAGGCCTTCGGTCGCCGCATTCCGTTCGCGTTCCTGGATGATGTACGGAACCGCTTCATGGGAATGTACGGCGCGGCTGCCAAGGAGGTGAGTTGGGGTGATGAGTACAGTGTAATGTAGTGAGTTGGGGGGGTTGCGTGAGGGGGGTTATGTTGCGCTGTGGGGGAACGGTTGGGAGTTGGTTGAGGGTTACCCGGGGAGCGGTTGCCCTCAGTCGCCCCCTCTGTCCCCCCCTCTGTCTGCCCCTTTCCCCCCCAAAACATACCGCCCTTTGCCGCCCCTTACCGCCCTCCGCGAAGCTTTCCTTCCTGACCCCCTTTCTCTCCCCCTCTCTCCCCCCAAAACACACACACACACACGCGGCACCAACCGTGTTCAGGCGGTGGCTTACGAGTACAATACGGAGTTCGGCAAGGTGCTGGGCGAGAGAGCTGCGGCGTTCAGTGACCCCTCATCAGACGTCATTAGCCGCATGCAGGTGCGTGGGTGGGTGTGGGTGGGTGCGGAGTGCCGGAGAGGAGGGAAGTATGGGGAGGGGGAGGAAAGGGTGTGGGAGGGGCCCTAGCTGCCCCTCCCTCCCCCCCGCTGCACCCCATCCGGTGTGCTGTGTAGCACATCCAGCCATGCGCGGCACTCTACATCTGTATGCGTGTCATCCGTTTGTCAGTCTGCACGTCTGTCTGTACACGTCTGTCTGCAGGGCCAGCTTCAGGAGGTGAAGCACATCATGATCGAGAACATCGAGAAGGTGTTGGAGCGAGGGGAGCGCCTTGACCTGCTGGTAAGATAACCACCACCACCACCACCACCGCAACAGCAACCAAAACCGAAACCACCAAACCACCACCACGGGCGGGAAGGGGGGCCCCGCACCACTTCTAGGGGATGGATCACTGCGCGAGAAGCTGCTCGCCTGCCTGACTCTACCTGCTGATGCCTTACTGCGTATAGACCCCACCTTAACACACACCCCACCACCACCTTAACACACACACCGTGTGCAGGTGGACAAGACTGAGGGGCTGCAGCAGGTGTCGCTGGCGTTCCGACAGCAGGCGAGAAGGTTGAAACACACGCTGTGGTGGAAGGTGAGAGAGCGAGAGCGGGGGCGCAACCCGCCCACTCACGCACCCACCCACGCACAAGCAATGCACCAGCGGCCCACCAGTGGATTCCCCCCCGTGTTGCTACTGCTGTTGTTTACTGCTGCTGCTGCTGCTGCTGCTGCTGCTGCTGCTGCTGCTGGTGACCTCATGTCGTGCAATTCCAATTGAAACTGACCTCTGCTGCTGCTGCCGCTGATGATGATGATGATGATGATGATGATGGCGACGGCGTTGTTGCTGCTGCCGGTTATGATGATGGTGGTGATGGCGGTGGTAAACACTTTGCTCATTGCTCTGTTCGGCCCTTTCAGAACGCCCGGCTGTGGCTGGTGATCAGCGGCGCTACCATGGCGCTCATCTACTTGATCGTGGCGATGGTGTGCGGCTTCTCACTGCGACACTGCTGAGAAGCAGGAGGAGGGGGGAAGGGGAGGAGGGAGGGGGAGTCTGGAAGAGGGCGGCCGCACGGTGTGAGGCGCTGGAAACGTGCCATGGCTATGGCAGCAGCAGGAGGAGGGGGAGGAGAGGTTTGAGATAGCCTATTGCATCATGAGGCCGAGTGGGACGGTCGGGGGCAGGTTGGTGTTGTACGGAGTTGGTGTGGTGTGGTGTGGTACGTGGATAGCGGGTGTGTGAAGGGGGAGTTGCCCGCTCCTGTGTGCTGCCACTCCGCCCTGCCGCCCACCCCTGGAGCAGTTCGCTCCGCCCTCCGTGCTTTTCCCGTCCCTTGACGTGCGGATGGGCGGCTGATGGGGTGCGGGGGCGGGGCGGGGAAGGAAGCTGGGAGAGCGATGCACAGCGCGATAGGGGAATGTATGACGAGCATGCCCTCGTGTGGCGCCAGGACGTCTGGGCATCACCTTCTTACTGATAGTCTGATGAACGTGAGGGCGCTGAGGCGACGTGGGTGTCGTGGCTCTAGAGGGAGGCTGGGGGGCAGTGGGGGTGAAGTGCGTCTTGAGCTACGAGCTGGTGGCCTAGCTGGTCGATGTGCTTGAGAGGTC